AACACCCTGCATAACTGAGGATGAGTCTGGAATACCACACTGGAATAGAGGTCTAACACCCTGTATAACTGAGGATGAGCCTTGAAAACCACACTGGAATAGAGGTCTAACACCCTGTATAACTGAGGATGAGTCTTGAATACCACACTGGAATAGAGGTCTAACACCCTGCATAACTGAGGATGAGCCTTGAATAGCACACTGGAATAGAGGTCTAACACCCTGCATAACTGAGGATGAGCCTTGAATACCACACTGGAATAGAGGTCTAACACCCTGCATAACTGAGGATGAGCCTTGAATAGCACACTGGAATAGAGGTCTAACACCCTGCATAACTGAGGATGAGCCTTGAATACCACACTGGAATAGAGATCAAACATCCTGTATAACTGAGGATGAGCCTTGAATACCACCCTGGAATAGAGGTCTAACACCCTGCATAACTGAGGATGAGCCTTGAATACCACACTGGAATAGAGGTCTAACACCCTGTATAACTGAGGATGAGTCTTGAATACCACACTGGAATAGAGATCTAACACTCTGCATAACTGAGGATGAGCCTTGAATAGCACACTGGAATAGAGGTCTAACACCCTGCATAACTGAGGATGAGTCTTGAATAGCACACTGGAATAGAGGTCTAACACCCTGCATAACTGAGGATGAGTCTTGAATAGCACACTGGAATAGAGGTCTAACACCCTGCATAACTGAGGATGAGTCTTGAATACCACACTGGAATAGAGATCTAACACCCTGTATAACTGAGGATGAGCCTTGAATAGCACACTGGAATACAGGTCTAACACCCTGCATAACTGAGGATGAGTCTTGAATACCACACTTGAATAGAGATCTAACACCCTGCATAACTGAGGATGAGCCTTGAATAGCACACTGGAATAGAGATCTAACACCCTCCATAAATGAGGATGAGTCTTGAATAGCATACTGGAATAGAGGTCTAACACCCTGCATAACTGAGGATGAGCCTTGAATACCACACTGGAATAGAGATCTAACACCCTGCATAACTGAGGATGAGCCTTGAATAGCATACTGGAATAGAGGTCTAACACCCTGCATAACTGAGGATGAGTCTTGAATAGCACACTGGAATAGAGATCTAAAACCCTGCATAATTGAGGATGAGCCTTGAATAGCACACTGGAATAGAGATCTAACACCCTCCATAAATGAGGATGAGTCTTGAATAGCATACTGGAATAGAGGTCTAACACCCTGCATAACTGAGGATGAGTCTTGAATACCACACTAGAATAGAGATCTAACACCCTGCATAACTGAGGATGAGCCTTGAATAGCACACTGGAACAGAGATCTAACACCCTCCATAAATGAGGATGAGTCTTGAATAGCATACTGGAATAGAGGTCTAACACCCTGCATAACTGAGGATGAGCCTTGAATACCACACTGGAATAGAGATCTAACACCCTGCATAACTGAGGATGAGCCTTGAATAGCATACTGGAATAGAGGTCTAACACCCTGCATAACTGAGGATGAGTCTTGAATAGCACACTGGAATAGAGATCTAACACCCTGCATTACTGAGGATGAGCTTTGAATACCACACTGGGATAGAGGTCTAACACCCTGCATAACTGAGGATGAGCCTTGAATAGCACACTGGAATAGAGATCTAACATCCTGCATAACTGAGAATGAGCCTTGAATAGCACACTGGAATAGAGGTCTTACACCTTGGATAACTGAGGATGAGTTTTGAATACCACACTGGAATAGAGATCTAACACCCTGCATAACTGAGGATGAGCCTTGAATACCACACTGGAATAGAGATCTAACACCCTGCATAACTGAGGATGAGTCTTGAATACCACACTGGAATAGAGATCTAACATCCTGCATAACTGAGGATGAGCCTTGAATAGCACACTGGGATAGAGATCTAACACCCTGCATAACTGAGGATGAGCCTTGAATAGCACACTGGAATAGAGGTCTAACACCCTGCATAACTGAGGATGAGCCTTGAATAGCACACTGGAATAGAGGTCTAACACCTTGGATAACTGAGGATGAGTTTTGAATACCACACTGGAATAGAGATCTAACACCCTGCATAACTGAGGATGAGTCTTGAATACCACACTGGAATAGAGATCTAACACCCTGCATAACTGAAGATGAGTTTTTAATACCACACTAGAATAGAGATCTAACACCCTGCATAACTGAGGATGAGCCTTTAAAAGCACACTGGAATAGAGATCTAACACCCTGCATAACTGAGGATGGGCCTTGAATACCACACTGGAATAGAGATTTAACAACCTGCATAACTGAGGATGAGCCTTGAATACCACACTGGAATAGAGATTTAACACCCTGCATAACTGAGGATGAGCCTTGAATAGCACACTGGAATAGAGATCTAACACCCTGCATTACTGAGGATGAGCCTTGAATACCACACTGGAATAGAGATCTAACACCCTGCATAACTGAGGATGAGCCTTGAATACCACACTGGAATAGAGGTCTAACATCCTATTAACTGAGGATGAGTCTTAAATAGCACACTGGAATAAAGGTCTAACACCCTGCATAACTGAGGATGAGCCTTGAATACCACACTGGAATAAAGGTCTAACACCCTGCATAACTGAGGATGAGCTTTGAATACCACACTGGAATAGAGGTCTAACACCCTGGATAACTGAGGATGAGTTTTGAATAGCACACTGGAATAGAGATCTAACACCCTGCATAACTGAGGATGAGTTTTGAATAGCACACTAGAATAGAGATCTAACACCCTGCATAACTGAGGATGAGCCTTGAATAGCACACTGGAATAGAGATCTAACACCCTGCATTACTGAGGATGAGCCTTGAATACCACACTGGAATAGAGATCTAACACCCTGCATAACTGAGGATGAGCCTTGAATACCACACTGGAATAGAGGTCTAACATCGTGTATAACTGAGGATGAGTCTTAAATAGCACACTGGAATAAAGGTCTAACACCCTGCATTACTGAGGATGAGCCTTGAAAAGCACACTGGAATAGAGATCTAACACTCTGCATAACTGAGGATGAGCCTTGAAAAGCACACTGGAATAGAGATCTAACACTCTGCATAACTGAAGATGGGCCTTGAATACCACACTGGAATAGAGATTTAACACCCTGCATAACTGAGGATGAGCCTTGAATACCACACTGGAATAGAGATCTAACACCCTGCATTACTGAGGATGAGTCTTGAATACCACACTGGAATAGAGGTCTAACATCCTGCATAACTGAGGATGAGTCTTAAATAGCACACTGGAATAGAGGTCTAACACCCTGCATAACTGAGGATGAGCCTTGAATACCACACTGGAATAGAGGTCTAACACCCTGCATAACTGAGGATGAGCCTTGAATAGCATAGTGGAGTAGAGATCTAACACCCTGCATAACTGAGGATGAGTCTTGAAAAGCACACTGGAATAGAGATCTAACACCCTGCATAACTGAGGATGAGTCTTGAATAGCACAGGCCATTTTCTGCTATGAAACAGGGTTTTGTTTTATTGGTACACAATCCAAGATATTTTCAGGGTGCATCAATTACTTTCAAGCATTCTGTAACACACAAAAATACAAAACATATACAAGGCTCTCCTTCATCCTTCATGGAGGGGGTCAGACGCCACTGATGCCCTAACATACTGATGATTGTGATATCTTTTGATGATTGTCATAACCATCTCCAAATATGTGAATCATATTTGGGGACAGATTTATTCCGATACAACATCAATCTGCATGGAGATCTGAGGACATGCCCATAGCACCCATCCAAACAACAACTCCATGCCAGGCTTCTGTTTTCTCAGTATGAGTTAGTGAAGCACTGAGGCGTGACTGAACCATTTATTGAAAACAAAGGTATTGGCATGTTTTGAATGTAATGTTTTGGATATTTTATTCACCCTTTCATATGGGAGTAGCATGTATGGAGTATATGTGTTTTGAATGTAATGTTTTGGATATTTTATTCACCCTTTCATATGGGAGTAGCATGTATGGAATATATGTGTTTTGTATGTAATGTTTTGGATATTTTATTCACCCTTTCATATGGGAGTAGCATGTATGGAATATATGTGTTTTGAATGGAATGTTTTGGATATTTTATTCACCCTTTCATATGGGAGTAGCATGTATGAAATATATGTGTTTTGTATGTAATGTTTTGGATATTTTATTCACCCTTTCATATGGGAGTAGCATGTATGGAATATATGTGTTTTGAATGTAATGTTTTGGATATTTTATTCACCCTTTCATATGGGAGTAGCATGTATGGAATATATGTGTTTTGAATGTAATGTTTTGGATATTTTATTCACCCTTTCATATGGGAGTAGCATGTATGGAATATATGTGTTTTGCATGGTTTTCTTTCATAATTATTTATGTTTCCAAGTCTGGGAAGAAAAGAATTGAAACCAAACAATATTTTTCGAAACAAACCATCTGATCTGGTTCATTAACGCATACACTCAAATACTGTTGTGTTGAACTTTGATGTGTTAACCTACAGATGTCTCTAAGTACAAGTTTGCTTCCTGGGTAATCCTTCTTTAGTCATAGTTGTGGTTATGTTGAACTTGAAGAATTTAATTTGATTCCTTAACTTTGACACTGGTTTTTGACTGTACTTCCTTCATTTATGATAGGTGGTCAAAGTTCATATTGAGTTTACCAGATGCAATCTTGTGGGAGGTATTCACAGATCTTGATGCAGAGAAGTATCGTTTCAAAGTAATAAAAATGAGAGAGACTGCCTCTTATTCAAAAGTTTTGGATAATATATCACAGCATTTCAAAATGGAGGTGAGGTGAAATTGGGTTTTACATCGTGCTTGAGAATATTTCGCTCATATGACGACGTCATTTCAAAATGGAATTAACTGAATACTGTCACTGGGTGGAGAATCTTACCTTGACTGAAATCATTCAGTCTTGCATGATAGAAGTAGTGTTGTTTGAAATTTGTGTCCTTTCCTTCAAATGGCCGTTCAATTCGTTTTGTTTTGTCTGCTGGTTCCCCATCATAGGTGCCACAGCGGTAGCGTATAGTGCCATGCTGTACATCCACCAAGACGGGGCAGTCCATCACTGAGGCCTGCACAGATAGACACCACAGCTACAGTAAGGAGCCAGGTGTACTGCACCTTTCCCCAGTAGTTTCACCAGTCAATATCAATATCTTGCTTCTTATGAGCCTAAATTGTCACATATGCTACATAATAATCAAGCTGACTTTTATTAATTAGTAACCTGCAAAAGAAATCGACAAAAAGAATAAAATTCCCCTTCCCAGTCCCATGTCAGTTCAAAAGAAAATGTGATAACAAACGCAAATATATGTTTAACTGGCGTAATGATGAGGTGAAACAGGTCAAAACAGTACTACACTTGTACACTACTACCTCAATGAAATATAATATAATGGAGCCCACTGGTGAGCAGCATTTTTTAGGTTTAGGAACAGAAATGACCTAGGCTTGCCAATGATTATAGACATGCAAGACCTGTAATGGACTCTATGACTGACTACCAACACTATAGCTCATAAACATATGGATATAGATCTAGTCAGCAGTCTAGAATGCCAATGTAGACAAAGTATTTACATTGGCTAAAATCAATCATTTGACAATTGATGTGTAAACAGTATACTAGTACTACTACTAGTATTAAATCCGTTATTAGACGTGCAATCAGATACAGTTCCTCAAAAACACAGCAAATGATTATATAGATGAACTGACATAGGAATTAGCCTACGAGTTTTTATTTGTATTGAAAATAAGTTGTCTCTAAAATAGCTCTTAAATTATTGTTAAAGTTTTTTCCAAAAACATATAAGGATCCTGAATTTTCAAAGTCTACTCCATGTACTCATTTGGTCGACCGACCATGATGTTACCAACAAACTAATGATCCCAGTGAGCACAGCCGAGAGCCGCGATGCGGTCCTATACAGTCAAGACATGACCCTGCATCGCGATGCGGTCCTAGAATCTATACAGTCAAGACATGACCCTGCATCGCGATGCAGTTCATGTCTTGACTGTATAGGACCACATCGCGGCTCTCGGCTACAGTGAGCAAAGAGCGTAGTCTACATGAACACTGACACAAGCCAATCATCCAAAGTTTTACCTTATTTTCTTTCTTTGACAGTTTTTCATTATACACCACACGTGGGTTGGCCGTCACTCCGACAGCTGGGCCACTACTACCACTTCCCATTGTTATGAAATATCAAACTGTCATTCCGTTTTTCGGCGCTGAACAATATGCGAATTATATCAACTCTCACCAGATGGGGTATTATAGCGTCATAATTACCACGGACAACTGTCATGGCGCTGGGTCACGTGAGTGCATTTCAACCAATCCCTTTGAAACTGTAGCCTCCTGTACGCCTCGCAGGACTGGGATCTTTCTATGCAATTCCATATGAATCAGATCGACCCAACGGCTGCGTATCTGAAACAATCGCACAAGCTAATCACATGGGTTAGCGACTTTTACTTCAGCTGTGATAGATCGGGCAAAACTACACTTCGATCATTACACTGCACTTAGGGGGAGAGCAAATTTAAATACTTATTATAAAGTGCATTTGGTTACAAATGGTAGTGTATGAAAGTATAGGTATAGTTTTATCCCAAAATATATCAACAATTTCTACACGGTGTGTCATTTCAATAATGATTTTTAAAAAATGGTAAAAAATTCTTTTGACAGATGCATATATTGTTTACCCGTTGGAGTAAGCACTACTGGCATTTTTTAATGAAAGTATAGGTATAGTTTTATCCCAAAATATATCAGCAATTTCTACACGGTGTGTCATTTCAATAATGATTTTTAAAAAGTGATAAAAACTTCTTTTGACAGATGTATATATTGTTTACCCGTTGGAGTAAGCGCTACTGGCATTTTTTAAAGAAAACATATTCTTCATGAAAGACGAAATATTTTTTGAAATTAGTAAACACAGATTAAACGCGTTCATCAAATTAACGATCAAATGCACACTACACTATAACAATAACTATACATCGAGCCAGTCAATTCATGACTTGCAGCAAGCCAGTGTTTGGGAACAACATCGATCGTCTCTCCTCGTGATTCAATTAAGGGCTCAAACATCGTTAGAATATTGTGAAATAATGTATATCAGCACGAGTCAATAACAGTTTAAACCCCGTGTGTTGCATCGGACATATTATCAGATATTGTAGGATCTCACCCAAGCGATATCTCCTACAGCAACCACTTTTATGTGTTACCCATTCTAAGAGCTGGGAGAAGCTGTTAATATTATCTACACATTTTCTGTGAAAACAAAGGTCAAGGTTTTCATCAGCAACTATTAACCACTGAAATGGCATTTGTGAAAATTTTATATTATTTCTGAGTATTTTTTTTATGTTTCGAAAATGTTTAGATGCTAAAATATTAACCAAACACAAAATGAGTTAAATTGGGCGGACTATAAGCATGTCCAGGGCCCAAGATCGTGATTTTTACCATTTAATAGTACTGTTTTATCTTCATCCCCTAACCCGTGAAGATCTTCAGTAACCCATATGCTTGTCGTAAGAGGCGACTAACAGGATCGGGCGTCAGACTCGCTGACTTGGTTGATACAAGTCATCGTATCTCATATGCGTAGATCGATGCTCATGCTGTTGATCACTGGGTTGACTGGTTCAGGCACGATTATTTACAGAGCGCCACCATATAGCTGGAATATTGCTGAGTGCGGCGTAAAACTAAACTCACTCACTTACTCACTCTTCATCCCCTGACATTGTCTTTCCAGGAACGTCGGCCTTTTCGATACAGTTTTGTATCAGTTATTCATATATAGCTTTGTAAATATTGCACAAGCCAAATGAAAATCGTCTTGTTCATGTGGACCTTTATTCAGTTATGGTTTTGGTTATGTGTGGATCAATCAGAATGCTATATGCAGCCAGGAATTTATATCTTTGTTCACAGAAAGATGCATACCTATTGATCGACAAACATGGATGGAACAGGTTGGACTGTATCCTAAACTTGAATTATGTTCCAGCATCAAATTATGTTTTAAATTTGAAGATTACTTATCCGCTGTTAAGGTGTCCGGATATCGTATAGCACTATGTAGATTTCGCTGTTCTAACCATAGTTTACTACTTGAAGAAGGAAGAAAGTTTAACATCCCTCGTCACGAACGATTATGTCCATTATGTATCATTCCTTATATAGAATCCGAGTACCACTTTTGCATGGTCTGTCCATTTTATGATACTCTTAGCAACTCCATTTTACCAGTATATTACACTACCTATCCATCATTTGATAAGTTCATTCACTTATTATCATCTACAAACAACATCGATGTCATTAACAGTTTGCTCGATTTGTATTTCTTGGTATGAAAAAGCGTGTTCGATTTCTAAAAACTTAACATGTAACAACCTTGGCGCTCCACGTCAGTATAAGTCTGTATGTACTTGTATAATGGGCCGGTGGCCCCCCTACAGAAATCTCTCTCTCTCTCTCTCCTCTCTCTCTCTCTGGTGAAAGCTCTCTCTCTATGGTGAAAGCTGATACTTTTTTTACAATTTGTTCATGTAGTATACATCCTGTCCTGTTAGATAGCTGACATATATGTAAGGAACAAACTATATCATGGGTCTTTTAGAAAGAGACAGAGGTTGGGACAACAGGAAAGAGATAGAGGATGGGACAACAGGAAAGAGACAGAGGTGGGGACAACAGGAAAGAGACAGAGGTTGGGACAACAGGAAAGAGTCAGAGGTTGGGGCAACAGGAAAGAGTCAGAGGTTGGGGCAACAGGAAAGAGACAGAGGTGGGGAAAACAGGAAAGAGATAGAGGATGGGACAACAGGAAAGAGACAGAGGTGGGGACAACAGGAAAGAGACAGAGGTGGAAAGAGTCAGAGGTTGGGAGCAACAGGAAAGAGACAGAGGTGGGGAAGGAGAGACAGAGGTTGGGACAACAGGAAAGAGACAGAGGTTGGGGACAACAGGAAAAGAGACAGAGGAAAGGAAAGACAGAGGTGGGGACAACAGGAAAGAGACAACAGGAAAGAGTCAGAGGTGGGGACAACAGGAAAGAGAGACAGAGGTTGGGGCAACAGGAAAAGAGACAGAGGAAAGAGGGGACAACAGGAAAGAGACAGGGTTGGGGACAACAGGAAAGAGACAGAGGTGGGGACAACAGGAAAGAGTCAGAGGTTGGGACAACAGGAAAGAGACAGAGGTGGGGACAACAGGAAAGAGACAGAGGTTGGGACAACAGGAAAGAGATACAGAGGTGGGGACAACAGGAAAGAGACAGAGGTTGGGACAACAGGAAAGAGACAGAGGTGGGGACAAACAGAAAAGAGACAGAGGTGGGGACAACAGGAAAGAGATAGAGGTGGGGCAACAGGAAAGAGACAGAGGTGGGGACAACAGGAAAGAGACAGAGGTTGAGAACAACAGGAAAGAGACAGAGGTTGGGACAACAGGAAAGAGACAGAGGTGGGGACAACAGGAAAGAGACAGAGGTTGGGACAACAGGAAAGAGACAGAGGTGGGGACAACAGGAAAGAGACAGAGGTGGGGACAACAGGAAAGAGACAGAGGTGGGGCAACAGGAAAGAGAGACAGAAAGGTGGGGGACAACAGGAAAGAGAGAGAGAGGTGGGACAACAGGAAAAAGAGACAGAGGTGGGGACAACAGGAAAGAGACAGAGACAGGTTGGGACAACAGGAAAGAGACAGAGGAAAGAGACAACAGGGAAAGAGACAGAGGTGGGGACAACAGGAAAGAGACAGAGGTGGGGACAACAGGAAAGAGAGACAGAGGTTGGGACAACAGGAAAGAAGAGAGAAAGAGACAGTGGGGAAAGAGGAAAGGAAAGAGAGAAAAAGACAGAGGTTGGGGACAACAGGAAAGAGACAGAGGTGGGGAAACAGGAAAGAGACAGAGGTGGGGACAGCAGGAAAGAGAGACAGAGGTGGGGAAAGAGACAGAGGGGACAACAGGAAAGAGACAGAGGTGGGGACAACAGGAAAGAGACAGAGGTTGGGACAACAGGAAAGAGACAGAGGTGGGGACAACAGGAAAGAGACAGAGGTGGGACAACAGGAAAGAGATAGAGGTTGGGACAACAGGAAAGAGACAGACAGGGGACAACAGGAAAGACACAACAGGAAAGAGACAGAGGTGGAAAGAGGACAGGAAAGAAAGAGACAGAGGATGGGACAACAGGAAAGAGACAGAGGTGGGGACAGGAGGAAAGAGGATGGAGGAAAGAGGAAAGAGGATGGGAAACAGGAAAGAGGAGGGACAACAGGAAAAGAGATAGAGGATGGGACAACAGGAATGAGACAGAGGTGGGGACAACAGGAAAGAGATAGAGGTGGGGAAACAGGAAAGAGATAGAGGTAGGGACAACCCATTCCATTCCTTCCATTCCATCCATCCATCCTCCATCCATTCCATTCCATTCCATTCCATTCCATTCCATTCCATTCCATTCCATTCCATTCCATTCCATTCCATCCATCCATTCCATTCCATTCCTTCCATTCCATCCATTCCATTCCATTCCATTCCATCCATTCCATTCCATTCCTCATTCCATAGGATGGGACAACAGGAAAGAGATAGAGGTGGGGAAAACAGGAAAGAGAGACAGAGGTTGGGAAACAGGAAAGAGACAGAGGTTGGGGAAACAGGAAAGAGACAGAGACAGAGGTGGGGTGGGGAAAACAGGAAAGAGATAGAGGTGGGGAAACAGGAAAGAGACAGAGGTGGGAACAATTGGGACACCATCGGGACAACATTTTGATTCGGGATAATGGGAACAGACCTATGTAGGAAGCTTGTATTTTGGATATAACCTCATCGTAAATAGTACAAACAAGTAATTCATCACTGTATTGCAGGCACATTATAGTATGACCAGAAATTATTGAGAATTTTAGGAATATGTTTAATTGGATTTCTAGTATAAACAACCATGACCAGCTATCAAGTGCTTGGTTTCATTCAAGAGAGACAACTCCGTTACTCCTTTTTCATTAGTTTGTGAAGAGTTATCCCCTTTTGTTTACTTGCTAGCAGATGAAATTTTCAGTGATCCTCAGTATGAATAATGTAGAGAAGAGGAAATTGATTTTAGAGTATTATAACAAGGTCAGCTAAAGTGATTTCAAGTAGAACAGGCATCTCTTTGTCTACTGTTTTGAAAAATATTTCACATGGATATGGCATTGAGCACCAGGGAGGTGCAGGTAGGCCCAGAAAGTTGACTGTCGGTGACAGCAGGCGGCTTGGTATTCTTGTTTCTAAAAACAAACGAAGGAGTTTAGAAAACTTAAGGCTGGATTGATAGAGGAACTGTGGCTGTCTGTAAGGAGACCATTAGAACTGAGCTGCATGCAATGGGTTGGCAGAAAAGTCGAGGAATTCCATCACCAATCATGAAACCTGAACAAAAGGAGCGAAGGTTGAACTGGTGCTTACAGCATAGAAATTTTAACTGGGACAATGTGATTTTCTCAGATGAAAGTTCTGTTTGGCTGTTTCCTAATACACTGAAATTCTGGACCAAACAAACTGAAAAACCTTTGTATCAGCGCCCAAAGTACAGTACGAAATTTAACATGTGGGGAGGCATATCTGTGTTAGGGGCAATGCCCCTCTGTGTATTTGAAGGGAATATAAAAAGAGAGCGGTACACAGATATTCTCGAGGGACATTTACTTCCATCTGCTCAGGTGTAAATTTTTGGATTTTCCAGCAGGACAACGACCCAAAACATCGTTCAAAGCATTCACAGGCCTGGTTTCGGACCCAAAATATGACATTATTAGATTGGCCAAGCTATAACCATGACCTAAATCCAATAGAAAATGTTTGGGGACTTATGAAGGAAAGTGCCAATAAGAAGCATCTGACAAATATTGCTGAAATGAAAGAAGAGGTGGTCCGATATTGGGACAGCATGGACCACGACTTTCTAACTTGTTTGATCAGTAGTATGCCCCGCCGATTGAAGCCTGCATTGCTGCTCATGGTGACTTGACAAAATACTAACTGTTCACCTGTCATTGAATCTGGAGTTATGTTCTGCTAATATTCACATTTAATTCGTGAGTAATGAGTGAAAAAATATATAAACTTACCATCTTTAAATTCTCAATAATTTCTGGTTGTACTGTACTTAAGGTGTAATGTTTGCCATGTTTGGGAAGTCCCCATGTGTCTAACAGTATGAGGTGTTGATTAATAGTGTTTGAGTGGTAGGTATCTATATATATTACATAAAAAACAAAACTCAAACTTAGTAATCAATAAATTTATTAACAACGTAATATGAAATAAGTTTCTATGTTATCCTCTTTGGACGGTGTTTTAATAGCAGCTGGAATCGTGAAAACAAACAATGTAACAACAGGATAAAATAACTGGACCATCTTCACATTGTTTCAACACTAACTTAAAGGAGCCTATGGTTCTCTATATGACTAAAACTGTAAAATCACAGAAGGCTGATCCTTCAAGCAGTGTGCGAAGTATGTGTGCGCCTGTTCACATTGTTTTGTCAACTATAAATTTCTACTTTGAACATGCTTTGTTTGTTGTTTAACACCGCACTCAACAATATTCCAGCAATGTGGTGTCGATCTGTAAATAATCGAGTCTCGGCCAGACAGTCCAGTGATAAACAGCAAGAGCATCGATCTACGCAATTGGGAACCGATGACATGTCAAGTAAGCCTGACCACCCGATCTCGTTAGTCGCCTCTTACGACAAGCATGGGTTAATGACATCAATTCTAACCTGGATCTTCACAGGTCACTTTGAACCTGACACACAGCATGGCAGGGAGTTCAGAAGGCTGCCTTGTGTTTAAGTTAAGATTTTAGGTCTAACACCTAACGTAGTTTGGTAGTATAATCCTTACACAGGTGTTATTCTGGTTATATTCTGTAGTCTGCCTTATGATTGGTATGGATCCTATTTTATATTGGAATGTACTAAAATTTCCAAGCTACACAGACCTCTTCTCACACACTGCATAGTAAGGAGCCATGACATATGAATGTAAAGATGATCAGATCATTACTACATAATATAATGTTCCCAAGTAAAATATCACAGATGAAGAGTCAGTCGCTGCTCATATGGAATACGTCAGCAGGGAGACTTTACATTTGGCAGGTTGTACTATGATAATTATAATCACAACAATTACACCATAACAAGCGAGATCATCATTAGTACCAGCATCAGTACTTGGAAGAATGAACAAATACTTGTGGTGTGGATTATGAGACATGTATGGCTAGACTTGTCTGTGAGTAGACACAAACACTAAATAATATTAACTTGAGAGAATGGGCTTTTTCTCTATGAATTAAACCTACACACCACACAGTTAAGATTGAGAGGATGGGCATTCTCTCATGGACAGACCAACACACCACACAGTACTAGCTCCATTAGAGGGCATAAAATATATGAATAGGGCCATAACGATGTGGAACTAGCGATCAACACACCACACAGTACTAGCTTGAGAGAGCACAGTACTAGCATGAGAGAGTGCAGTACTAGCATGAGAGAGCACAGTACTAGCTTGAGAGTGCAATACTAGCATGAGAAAGCACAGTACTAGCATGAGAGAGCGCAGTACTAGCATGAGAGAGTGCAGTACTAGCATGAGAGAGAGCAGTACTAGCATGAGAGAGCATGAGCAATTAGCTTGAGAGCACAGTACTAAGCAGAGAGAGTGCAGTACTAGCATGAGAGAGTGCAGTACTAGCATGAGAGAGCAGCACAGTACTAGCATGAGAGAGCGCAGTACTAGCATGAGAGAGCGCAGTACTAGCATGAGAGAGCACAGTACTAGCTTGAGAGTGCATACTAGCATGAGAGAGTGCAGTACTAGCATGAGAGAGCCTTAGTACTAGCATGAGAGTGCACTAGCATGAGAGCAGAGTACTAGCATGAGAGCACAAGTACTAGCATGAGAGAGCCTGTACTAGCAAGAGAGAGCAGTACTAGCATGAGAGAGTGCAGTACTAGCATGAGAGAGCGCAGTACTAGCATGAGAGAGCGCAGTACTAGCATGAGAGAGCCGAGCACAGTACTAGCATGAGAGAGTGCAGTACTAGCATGAGAGAGCGCAGTACTAGCATGAGAGAGCGCAGTACTAGCATGAGATGAGCATGAGAGAGCGCAGTACTAGCATGAGAGAGCGCAGTACTAGCATGAGAGGCAGGCACTAGCATGAGAGTGCACAGTACTAGCATGAGAGAGCAGTACTAGCATGAGAGAGCCAGTACTAGCATGAGAGCCTTGTGCACTAGCATGAGAGAGCATGAGTACTAGCATGAGAGAGCGCATGTACTAGCATGAGAGAGCACAGCTACTAGCAGAGGCATACTAGAGAGCAGTACTAGCATGAGAGAGAGTAGTACTAGCATGAGAGAGAGCAGCAGTACTAGCATGAGAGAGCAGTACTAGCATGAGAGAGGCAGTACTAGCATGAGAGAGCAGTACTAGCTTGAGAGAGAGTAGCAGTTGAGAGAGAGAGTGCAGTACTAGCATGAGAGAGCGCAGTACTAGCATGAGAGAGCGCAGTACTAGCATGAGAGAGCAGTACTAGCATGAGAGAGAGCAGTACTAGCATGAGAGAGAGCAGTACTAGCATGAGAGAGCGCAGTACTAGCATGAGAGAGAGCAGTACTAGCATGAGAGAGCAGTACTAGCATGAGAGAGCCAGTACTAGGCTTGAGAGAGCATGATACTAGCATGAGAGGCGCAGTACTAGGTTGAGAGAGCACAGTACTAGCATGAGAGAGAGCAGTACTAGCTTGTGAGAGCACAGTACTAGCATGAGAGAGAGCAGTACTAGCATGAGAGAGAGCAGTACTAGCATGAGAGAGCGCAGTACTAGCATGAGAGGCAGCAGTACTAGCATGAGAGAGCGCAGTACTAGCATGAGAGAGCGCAGTACTAGCATGAGAGAGCACAGTACTAGCATGAGAGAGAGCAGTACTAGCATGAGAGAGCGCAGTACTAGCATGAGAGCCGCAGTACTAGCATGAGATGAGAGCGATGAGAGAAGACAGCGCATGAGAGAGCATACTGAGAGAAACAGTACTAGCATGAGAGAGCAGTACTAGCATGAGAGAGCGCAGTACTAGCATGAGAGAGATGAGCTAGTGAGAGAGACAGCACTAGCATGAGAGAGAGCATGGCAGTACTAGCATGAGAGGAGAGCAATACTAGCATGAGAGAGCATGAGCAGTACTAGCATGAGAGAGCAGTACTAGCATGAGAGAGCAGTACTAGCATGAGAGAGCAGTACTAGCATGAGAGAGCGCAGTACTAGCATGAGAGAGCGCAGTACTAGCAGAGAGAGAGC